CACTACAGTATAACAAATGACACAACACTACAGTATAACAGATGACTCAACACTACAATATAACAGATGACACAACACTTCAATATAACAGATGACACTACACTACAATATAACAGATGGCACAGCACTACAATATAACAGATGACACAACACTACAGTATAACAGATGACACAACACTACAATATAACAGATGACACAACACTACAATATAACAGATGACACAACACTACAATATAACAGATGACACAACACTACAATATAACAGATGACACAACACTACAATATAACAGATGACACAACACTACAATATAACAGATGACACAACACTACAATATAACAGATGACACAACACTACAATATAACAGATGACACAACACTACAATATAACAGATGACACAACACTACAATATAACAGATGACACAACACTACAATATAACAGATGACACAACACTACAATATAACAGATGACACAACACTACAATATAACAGATGACACAACACTACAATATAACAGATGACACAACACTACAATATAACAGATGACACAACACTACAATATAACAGATGACACAACACTACAATATAACAGATGACACAACACTACAGTATAACAGATGACACAACACTACAGTATAACAGATGACACAACACTTCAATATAACAGATGACACAACACTACAATATAACAGATGACACAACACTACAAACTTTTCAATTTGAATTGCTACATAGAATACTCTATACAAACTCTAGACTAATTAAAATGAACATTACAGAAACAGAAATTGTAATATTTGTTCGGTAAGTAGAGAAACGCTAACGCATTTATTTTGGAATTGACCTCACACACGTGCGTTCTGGTCATTTTTAAGACAACAATTTGTAACTAATTGTAATATAGATTTTCCATGGTCAAATATTTCTTTTATATGCGGAATAGATACCACTCCTGAAAATGAAAGTGTGAATATGTGTATCATCATCATAAAGAAATATATTTACTCATGCAGAAACAAACATACAATGCCAACTATTGGCGGGGTCCGTTCTGCAATATCATACTACAATGTATAAGCTAATTGAAAATCAATGTATCCTTTCATATCTCCGAGCAAAAGTCGATGAAGTAGTAGCGAAGTGGGCCGTTATCATCACAGCATTGAACATTAATTAATCGAATTTAAATCCATATTTGCTCATTCTTGCTATCGATGTTTATCATATCTAGAACTATTTACTACCTAATAATAAGAACGCAAGCAGTTGTTAGTGTACATGAAAAAGAAACAAAATGAAAAAGAAGATAGAATTTATGAGTATGCGAGACAATATGAAATACAATGTAATATTTGGCATGTACTCCACTGTGTACTAACATATGAACAATCAAAAATAAAATATGATAAAAAATGTATTTCAGCCCTTTCCAAACATAGTAACAGATAGTGGTACAAGCATAGACATAGACATGTCTAATTCCCTGTATATTATGTTGTTTTTAGGATTTACAATCGACTAGAGCACATGTTCTTCCTTCTTTGTGATCATCTTTATTTATTTGTAATTATTGACGGGAGATATGGGTGATTGGTTGGAAAATATTGAAATCTTCCTTTGTTTGTATGCCGTAAATATTGATTGATACTGATTTACAGTCACAGATACAAAACCTGGGCATGGTAAACGGGAGGTAACTCCAACATAAATTTGAAGGTTACTTCTGCACTCCAATAATCCACAATATCCTTCCTTTAATCAATTATGAGCATCGCTACGTTGGCAAAACCAACGAACGTTACAGTTACCATTTTAATATTGGGATAATTGACATTTAAACAAAAACACGGGTATGTGTAGAGATGTTCATATTATTATTTGAATCTAGGGATAAGATGGCCTTCAAATGATAACCGAAGTTGTTCTCATACATAAATATACATCATTTGAAAAAAAACGCGGAAATGTAGGACATTGCCATTGAACAAAGACGTATTTGAGAAAGAATAATCTCAAGCTGACATTATATAATCCAATACCAATGTCTGTTTGCTACTTCGTGTTGTATTGTTTTTATTCGGCATAGCCAAAGATGCTGGGTGTCCGAGAGAAAATGAGTGTGCATACATTTATTTTTTAAAGATCGTCTTTTAAATCTATTACTGACCTTATTGTAGCTACACAGAAGGAAAATGTCCAACTAGGAAACTAAGGAAGTATGTAAAACTTTGTGAATTTGTTGATAATTCTGAGAATAATTCAGAAACTTTCCGGATTTTTTCCATTACTTTCAACTGTAAGTTTGTACTTTTTTATATCTTTTATTGTCTAAAGCTCGAGAAATCCGATCTTTCAATTATCCTAAATCAAGTAAATTATATTTTAAATGCATAATTAGTTTGAGCTTGAATAAAAAAGTATTATTGTCAATATTTAGAAAACTGGAATGACCTTGAAGAGCATATAGGTGACTTACAGGTGACAGGTGACAGGTGACTTACAGGTGACAGGTGACATTAACAGTTCGTATCTTGGAACCTTTTGATGCTGCATGGATTGTATTAGAAAAAATCAATAGTGAAGCTCGGGTTTCTCTACTGAATGCAGGTTGCAGATGTTGTATTAGACCTTATTTTCACGCTTATTATGACTTGATTTAGAATTCATGTCCTTGGTGGAGATTTGCTGTAGACTAATACATGTCCTTGGTAGATATTTGATGTAGACTAATACATGTCCTTGGTAGAGATTTGCCGTAGACGAATGTCCTTGGTAGAGATTTGATGTAGACTAATACATGTCCTTGGTAGAGATTTGCTGTAGACGAATGTCCTTGGTAGAGATTTGAGGTAGACTAATACATGTCCTTGGTAGAGATTTGCTGTAGACTTATACATGTCCTTGGTAGATATTTGCTGTTGACTAATACATGTCCTTGGGAGAGATTTGCTGTAGACTAATACATGTCCTTGGTAGATATTTGCTGTGGACTAATACATGTCCTGGGTAGATATTTGCTGTAGACTAATACATGTCCTTGGTAGATATTTGCTGTGGACTAATACATGTCCTGGGTAGATATTTGCTGTAGACTAATACATGTCCTTGGTGGAGATTTGCTGTTGACTAATGCATGTCCTTGGAAGAGATTTGCTGTAGACTTATACATGTCCTTGGTAGATATTTGCTGTTGACTAATACATGTCCTTGGTAGATATTTGCTGTAGACCAATACATGTCCTTGGTAGAGATTTGCTGTGGACTAATACATGTCCTGGGTAGATATTTGCTGTAGACGAATGTCTTTGGTAGAGATTTGCTGTTGACTAATGTCCTCGGTAGATATTTGCTGTAGACTAATACATGTCCTTGGTAGATAGTTTCTGTAGACTTATACATGTCCTTGGTGGAGATTTGCTGTTGACTTATACATGTCCTTGGTAGATATTTGCTGTAGACTAATACATGTCCTTGGTAGATATTTGCTGTTGACTAATACATGTCCTTGGTAGAGATTTGCTGTAGACTAATACATGTCCTTGGTAGAGATTTGCTGTGGACTAATACATGTCCTGGGTAGATATTTGCTGTTGACTAATACATGTCCTTGGTGGAGATTTGCTGTGGACTAATACATGTCCTGGGTAGATATTTGCTGTAGACGAATGTCCTTGGTAGAGATTTGCTGTAGACTAATACATATCCTGAGTAGAGATTTGCTGTAGACTAATACATGTTCTTGGTAGATATTTGCTGTAGACTAATACATGTCCTTGGTAGAGATTTGCTGTAGACTAATACATGTCCTTGGTGGAGATTTGCTGTAGACTAATGTCCTTGGTGGAGATTTGCTGTAGACTTATACATGTCCTTGGTGGAGATTTGCTGAAGACTAATACATATCCTTGGTGGAGATTTGCTGTAGAGTATTACATGTCCTTGGTAAATATTTGCTGTTGACTAATACATGTCCTTGGTAGAGATTTGCTGTTGACTAATTCATGTCCTTGGTGGAGATTTGCTGTAGACTAATACATGTCCTTGGTGGAGATTTGCTGTAGTCTAGTACATGTCCTTGGTGGAGATTTGCTGTTGCCTAATACATGTCCAGAGAACGTGCATGCTTTTCCTGTCCATTACACAGATTATCACGTTTTCATAAATTGGTCCTGTCATTTTATTATCTGAAATACAATAAAAATGCAAAATCTCATTTCCAGAAGTAAATACCAGTATATTTTATAACTCCTCCCCACCCCACAGCTGTTTTACCTGGCTTCTTCCATTCCGAATAGAGCATTGTTTTGGTCTATTTCTGTAGCAAAGATAATGCATGTACACTTACAGTGAGTTTTAAACTTGGACACTTGAAAAGTAACAGTATTTTCAGTACGGGTGGCTCTTTACAATAGGAGTTTGAGTGGGGGATATCGATGGATGCGTCTTCTTGTTTGGAATAAGAAACAAAATGAAAATAATGCAATAAGAGTTGTCGGGTGGTGCAGTGAATAGCGCACTTGCCTTTCACCGAGGCGGCCGGGGTTCGATTCCTCGATCGGACGTGAACAGGTATCGGTTCACCTGCCCGACCACGTGGATTTTCTCCGGGTATTCCGGTTTCCTCCCACAGTAAGACCCTCCGCACGCTAATAATTTTATTTCATTCAAGATTGTAATTTAGTTTTAACATCGTATGGTTAAGGGATCAGAACAAACTCAAGGTAGTTTACACCTTTGTATATGAAGCTTGATTACAATATAAAATGCAGATTAGTTAAACAGGGCAGTGTTCGTGGTGTATTCAGTAATAAACCAGACACAATACAGCTACCTGTCGGATGATCGGCTGCGTATAGTATGTATAGTGGAGTGTAAGGTCGTATATTGGCGTACATCGATGACCAGTGTCGTGTGTCGCGCTACTGTATTGGGTTCTTTATTTATAGTAGTGATCAGATATAAACTTGTAAACAATACACCAAATCAAAACCACAGGTCCAACTATAGCTGAAACAAATTACCAGGTTCCTGTGATTAACACTAGGACGGCTAGCGCTATGACGGCGGTAAGTCTCACTATATAGTTGTCTGAAGTCATAGAAACCGATTCGAGCTGTACATGTCGACATTAGTTAATTACAACCTTTCTTTAACTGAGCCCGTGATTCAAAACAAGTTCACACAATATATCACGTGACAGTCCCGTTGTTATTTTGATCTGTATGTTTATATTCATGAATACAGACATATTGTACACGTGTGCAAATTAGGTATAAGAAGGGTACGGAAAGAAGGTTTATTGTCCGTATGGTAGGGAAACACAATTAAATGTTTCCTCTCGTTTTATCATGTTTCAATCGGACTTTGCATGTATGAAGCGTTATAAACATCGGGAAACAAAAGCATCGTCAAATCAATACAACGAGTTCAATAAATGTATAATTGTATAACCTGGTGTGTTACCTTGGTAAGATTATACACTTGTTAACGTCGTACAACGTCTGCTAACATTGTAAGTATACACTTGTTTACGTCGTAGTACAGCGTCTACTAACATTGTATAACCTGGTTTGTTTCCTTGGTAAGATTATACACTGGTTTACGTCGTAGTACAGCGTCTACTTACATTGTATAACCTGGTGTGTTACATTGGTAAGATTATACACTGGTTTATGTCGTACAACGTCTACTAACATTGTATAACCTGGTGTGTTACCTTGGTAAGATTATACACTGGTTTATGTCGTACCGTCTACTTACATTGTATAACCTGGTGTGTTACCTTAGTAAGATTATACACTGGTTTATGTCATACCGTCTACTTACATTGTATAACCTGGTGGGTTACCTTGGTAAGATTATACACGGGTTTACGTCGGAGTACAGCGTCTACTAACATTGTATAAGCTGGTGTGTTACATTGGTAAGATTATACGCTGGTTTATGTCGTACCGTCTACTTACATTGTATAACCTGGTGTTTTACCTTGGTAAGATTATACACTAGTTTATGTCGTACCGTCTACTTACATTGTATAACCTGGTGTTTTACCTTGGTAAGATTATACACTAGTTTATGTCGTACCGTCTACTTACATTGTATAACCTGGTGGGTTACCTTGGTAAGATTATACACTGGTTTCTGTCGTACAACGTCTACTAACATTGTATAACCTGGGGTGTTACCTTGGTAAGATTATGCACTGGTTTATGTCGTACCGTCTACTCACATTGTATAACCTGGTGTGTTACTTTGGTAAGATTATACACTTGTTTACGTCGGAGTACAGCGTCTGCTAACATTGTCTAACCTGGTGTGTTACATTGGTAAGATTATGCACTTGTTTACGTCGTACAGCGTCTGCTTAAATTGTATAACCTGGGGTGTTACCTTGGTAAGATTATGCACTTGTTTACGTCGTAGTACAGCGTCTAATAACATTGTATAACCTGGTGTGTTGCCTTGGTAAGATTATACACTTGTTTTCGTCGTAGTACAGCGTCTACTAACACTGTATAACCTGGTGTGTTACTTGTTTACGTCGTACAGCGTCTGCTAACATTGTATAACCTGATGTGTTACATTGGTAAGATTATACACTGGTTTACGTCGTACAGCGTCTGCTTAAATTGTATAACCTGGTGTGTTACCTTGGTAAGATTATACACTTGTTTACGTCGGAGTACAGCGTCTGCTAACATTGTATAACCTGGTGTGTTACCTTGGTAAGATTATACACTGGTTTACGTCGTAGTACAGCGTCTGCTAACATTGTATAACCTGGTGTGTTACCTTGGTAAGATTATACACTTGTTTACGTCGTAGTACAGCGTCTACTAACATTGTATAACCTGGTGTGTTACCTTGGTAAGATTATACACTTGTTTACGTCGTAGTACAGCGTCTACTAACATTGTATAACCTGGTGTGTTACCTTGGTAAGATTATACACTTGTTTACGTCGTAGTACAGCGTCTACTAACATTGTATAACCTGGTGTGTTACCTTGGTAAGATTATACACTTGTTTACGTCGTAGTACAGCGTCTACTAACATTGTATAACCTGGTGTGTTACCTTGGTAAGATTATACACTTGTTTACGTCGTAGTACAGCGTCTACTAACATTGTATAACCTGGTGTGTTACCTTGGTAAGATTATACACTTGTTTACGTCGTAGTACAGCGTCTACTAACATTGTATAACCTGGTGTGTTACCTTGGTAAGATTATACACTTGTTTACGTCGTAGTACAGCGTCTACTAACATTGTATAACCTGGTGTGTTACCTTGGTAAGATTATACACTTGTTTACGTCGTAGTACAGCGTCTACTAACATTGTATAACCTGGTGTGTTACCTTGGTAAGATTATACACTTGTTTACGTCGTAGTACAGCGTCTACTAACATTGTATAACCTGGTGTGTTACCTTGGTAAGATTATACACTTGTTTACGTCGTAGTACAGCGTCTACTAACATTGTATAACCTGGTGTGTTACCTTGGTAAGATTATACACTTGTTTACGTCGTAGTACAGCGTCTACTAACATTGTATAACCTGGTGTGTTACCTTGGTAAGATTATACACTTGTTTACGTCGTAGTACAGCGTCTACTAACATTGTATAACCTGGTGTGTTACCTTGGTAAGATTATACACTTGTTTACGTCGTAGTACAGCGTCTACTAACATTGTATAACCTGGTGTGTTACCTTGGTAAGATTATACACTTGTTTACGTCGTAGTACAGCGTCTACTAACATTGTATAACCTGGTGTGTTACCTTGGTAAGATTATACACTTGTTTACGTCGTAGTACAGCGTCTACTAACATTGTATAACCTGGTGTGTTACCTTGGTAAGATTATACACTTGTTTACGTCGTAGTACAGCGTCTACTAACATTGTATAACCTGGTGTGTTACCTTGGTAAGATTATACACTTGTTTACGTCGTAGTACAGCGTCTACTAACACTGTATAACCTGGTGTGTTACCTTGGTAAGATTATACACCTGTTTACGTCGTAGTACAGCGTCTGCTAACATTGTATAACCTGATGTGTTACCTTGGTAAGATTATACACTTGTTTACGTCGTAGTACAGCGTCAATATTGTATAACCTGGTGTGTTACCTTGGTAAGATTATACACTTGTTTACGACGTAGTACAGCGTCTACTTACATTGTATAAACTGGTGTGTTACCTTGGTAAGATTATACACTGGTTTACGTCGTAGTACAGCGTCAGCTAACATTGTATAACCTGATGTGTTACCTTGGTAAGATTATCCACTTGTTTACGTCGTAGTACAGCGTCAATATTGAATAACCTGGTGTGTTACCTTGGTAAGATTATACCATTGTATAACCTGGGGTGTTACCTTGGTAAGATTATGCACTTGTTTACGTCGTACAGCGTCTACTAACATTGTATAACCTGGTGCGTTACATTGGTAAGATTATACACTTGTTTACGTAGTACAACGTCTATTATTATACCTCTACTTTATTTACTCTATATAAAAGTAATTGGTTAAATCGAATATATCCCCACTTTTGCCTGACTGTGTTTTAGTCCTATGTGTTAGTCTGGGAACTAAAACACACCTACACTCGGGTGTTTCCGCGGAGCCAATCAGGCGAGAGGTGGGCGGAGCATGTTACCGAAATCGGAAGCGACGCGCTAGGTGGGCGGAGCTTTCTACCGAACTCGGAAGCATTTGGCTCCATTGCCATCAAAAGGGAAGCTGTACAGCTTATGGTTTACAAATATGTTCTAGTTAAAACTATCTCTTCAGTGTGTATCGGTATAATAAAACGGTTAAGGTATGGGGTTGAGGGATATAGCAAGTTGTCTGGTGTCCCTTGACCATGCCTATTTCCCTCGGCTTCGCCTCGGGAAATAGACATGGTCTCGGGACACCAGAAACATGTTATATCCCTCAACCCCATACTTTAACTGTATACTAACATTGTATAACCTGGTGTGTTACCTTGGTAAGATTATACACTTGGTTACGTCGTACAGTGTCTACTAACACTGTATAACCTGGTGCGTTACATTGGAAAGATTATACACTTGTTTACGTCGTACAGCGTCTACTAACATTGTATAACCTGGTGTGTTACCTTGGTAAGATTATACACTTGTTTACGTCGTACAGTGTCTACTAACACTGTATAACCTGGTGCGTTACATTGGTAAGATTATACACTTGTTTACGTCGTA